ATCGGGAGGGGTAGAGGAGTGGAGACGCCCAGTCAGCTGATGCGGGACTTCACGATGGGCACGGCCCACAAAATTGTAATAGCTTCCTACATCAGTTTCTGATCTCTCTTTGCCTGGAGATTTGCCGTCTTGGCTGTCAGCTCTGAAGTGTTCCGCTCGCAGTTCACGTGGAAGGTCTTTGCCTGCTCAGCCATGCAGGGGGCGGGGTTGGGACGACGACGCGTGCCGAGGCGGCACTCCGAAGCCAGCCCTTTGGGGGAGGGATGCTCCCTCTGTTTTGTGATTTTCTGATCCTGGAGTGGACTTGGGACTTCTGCGTGCAACCGTGCAACAGCTGCTCAGCCAGCATGCGCTTGCACTCTGCATCGAGGTTCCTCACCGTCTTGACTGGTTCGCCCTCCTCCCGCGCCATCCTGCGCTCCAGGGCTTCCTGGAGAGGCGCCCCTCGGCTGGCGCAGTCTGCCTCGAGGACCCCCGGCTGCTCGACGGGCTCGTCTTCTTTCTCCGTCACCCTGCGCTTTGCAAAACGGTGGGACATCGCAGCTGGACGGGGCTCGCTGCGGACCTGGGCGCCTGGTCCAACTTAGGCAGCGAGTACGTCGAATGGTACTAGTGACTGAGCGGGCCTCAGGCGCGCCCGCCCCCAGGGATCCCCAGCCTTCCAGCCTTCCTGCGCCCGGAGTCCGCCAGCCTCACGGCGGCCCGCGCCTTCTCCTCGGCCGAGCTCTGGCCTTGCACCTCGACTCACAGGCGATCGATCTCCCCCGATCCCCGAGCTCCGCCCGAAACGTTTGGCCGCTCAGAACTAGGGGGAAGCCCTGGGATACACCTCAAGGGGGCTATTCGGACGCACCCCTATCGAGGATGGACGCCCCACCATCGTATATCCCACGGTTGTGCCCCAAATTTCTGGTCCAGTCGAACACCTCCCAAAGCCTGGGATAGGGGTCGACGTATCCCTTGTCATCGACGACGACGCGGTAGCCCATGGAAGCGCCCACCATTGGCACCCGACCCTTCTGCAATCGGCGCCACGCCGGGGCAGAGGGCCCTGTGCTGCGGCCAGCGGCCCAGCCTGCCCACGCACGCGAGGCTGGGCCAGCCTCATCGCCCGTAGCTCGCAGCCCTCCCCCCGCCCACCTTTGGAGCATTGGCAGCCTGGGGCGCTGAGCGCAGCCCAGGGCGCGCTTGGCGGCCACGAGGAGCTCCTCGCCCCCTCTCCTGCCGCACCGCTGCAGCAGATCCGCTGCAGCGGCGGCTGCGCAAGCGCCCCTTCTCTCGCTGGGCCGCCGAAGGCCTCCCCCTTTCGGCAGCCCGGCCGCACGCCAGCTGGATGGCCTGCGCGCTGGAGAGCCGGCGCGCCAACAGGGCCTCTGGCACGGCCCGCAGGCGCCACGCCGCGCGGCCGCGCGGCACGGCCGGCCCTCCCGAGCATCACCGGCGCGGCTCGGCCGCTCGCGCTGGGGCCGCGGCCTGGCTCGCTCGTGCAGCCCACATGTCTGAGCCGAAGTGGCCACGGTCCTCTCTGAGGGAGGAGAGCACGAGGAGGCCCAACTCGTCCGTCCGCCGGAACCGACCCGCCCGTCAGGATTCGACCCGAGCAGACCCGCCTGGCCGAGTTGTGGTAGCCGATGGGGGAACGCGTCGGCCCCCCGACCGCCCATTCATCGCGGATCCGCCATCTGGGGCCCATCGCCGACCATCGGCGATGCATCGCCGATTCCACACCCGTTTTCCAGTGGAGCACTGCCCACGGAAGTTTGGACAAGGTCCTCGAGGACCTGGTGGGCCACGGTGCCGAGGGGCCGCAGAGGGTCCTCGATTTTCTGGGAAACGCCTGGGCCGATTTGTTTGCGCGGACTGGGGCTGCTGAGCACGAATTGTCGGAAGATCTCACTTCCCACATTCGCGCCCAGCTCCAAGATGCTTCCAAGACTATCGATGTCATAAACCGTGCTGCGCAGAGAGCCTCTGCCAGTGCTCCCGAGGCCTCAGTACGCGCCAAGCCGCGGGAGGAGGCCCCTCCCCAACTAGCTTTCCTTGCTCATGACCTGGAGGCGGTTGAGTCGGCCAGCGGGGGGGGTGAGATGTACCTGGTGCCACAGCTCAGCGCGTACGAAGGCAAGTCGTGCGAAGCTAGAGCAGCCTGGCGCCAAGTGCTAGCCCACGCCGCTGCACCTGTTTTTGACAGCTGTGAGAGCGTGGCGTCGTGGCGCCCCTTGGTCAGAGCTGGGTGCGAGGCTATTCGCCATGCACTGGTTTTCTGTGAACTGGTGGGAGAGGCGGCGCTGGCCCGACTGAGCCCCCGCCTGCCTTCGAGTACTTCGGACATGTGGTGGAGGCCTCGGAGGCCCACTTGGTGCGCCGAAAGTGCCGAGCCTGAGCGTCGATCGAGGCCCCGCATTTCAGATCGTTGATTCGGCTTTGCGCGGGCAAGGCCTCGGCGGGACAAGCGTGGTTCCACGACTACATATTAGATGGATGCGGGCCACGCTCCTAGTGGTGGCTAGGCGCTGTCCCGCTGGGCGGGGTGGCGCTCAGAGGCCGCTGGGAGGGTGGTTCGCGCGTCCTGCGCAGGTCTCTGCGTTGCGGCTTTCCCTCCTCGGACCCGCAGCCACTTGCCCTCCATATGTGCCAGGCTCCGCCCCTCTGCGAGCCTGGCCGCCCGTGCTGTTCCCTTGGCGCGTGGCGCCTGACAGCCTGCCCACTGCGCGCAGGCCCTCTTTGCGGCTATCGCCGCCTCTCTTTAATCGGCTAGTGTCGGCCCAGCGGATGCTAGACCTTGATTGCCCCTTGCCCCTTGCCCCTCCTCCTCCTCCTCATCCTCCTCCTCCTCCTCCCTCCTCCTCATCTCCCTCCTCCTCCTCCTCCTCCTCGTTGTACCGTTGTACCACGGGCTCTGCTGTAATGCGATCCTGGAGATCGATCAGAGGCTTTGTACAAGGGGCAACCTCGCGAAGGAGAAGGAGGAGAAGGAGGAGGAGGAGGGAGGAAGGATCGAGGAGATGAGGGAGGAGGAGGATCAGAGGAGGAGGAGGAGGAGGAGGAGGAGGAGGAACGAATCGGGACCCACTGGTTTCATGGCGGAGCTCTGAGCCGCCGAGGAGCTCCTGGAGGGCAGCGGCGCTGGCGGCGCCGGCTCAGAGATGGGGCCCGTAGGGATGGAACCTTACGGATCGAGCGAGGAGGAGAAGGAGGAGGAGGAGGACGAGGAGGGGCAGGAGGAGGAGGAGGAAGAGGAGGAGGAGCAGGAGGAGGAGGAGGAGCAGGAGGAGGAGGAGGAGGAGTATCGTGAGGTCGAGGAGGAGGAGGAGGAGGATCGATGATCGAGGGGGGGAAGGAGGGACGGACCGAGGAGGAGAAGGGATCGTTCTCAGGGCCCCACCCCTCACCCTGAGATCCGACGACGCCACAGAAATTGCAACATCGCGAGCGATCACCACCGGAGCCCTGGACCCCATCACCCCGCGCTCTTTTTCGAGCCGCACCGACCTGTGAGGGCCCAGCGGCCAGGAGTTGGGCGAACGCGCCCGCCTCGACAAAATTGAGACGCCAGCGTCCTCGGGCCTTAGGGGCAGCGTAAGGGGGGCGAGCGGCTCAGGGGGAGGCAAGATAGGCTCAGGAGGGCGACGCCAGCGTCCTCGACCCGTCATCGGCCCCACATCGCCGATAGATCGGCGGTGGGCCCCCGATGGCGGATCCGCACGCTCCTGGGCGGAGCGGGGCGATTGGGCCCGCACCGGCGGTCAGTGGGCGATTCGGGGTCGATGCATGTTGCTGCCGCTTGCCCGCACGCGCCCGGATGGTACATGCCGGAAGGGATGGATGGGCAGTCGAAGAACAAAGTCAGCCACGCACAGAAGGGGGATGGGGGGAGGCTTCTTAGAAAGAAACATGTTTCTGAGAAGGCGCTGGCCGTATCTGTAGATGTAGGGCCGGCGCCTTCTGGGAGCAGCCTCCTTCTAAGAAGCCTTCCCGCCTTCCCCCCTCCCCCTACCCCCCCTGCGCGCCGCCAATAGGAGGCGTTTGAGACCCTGGAGGGCCGGCCGCGGCGCCCGACACATCTCCTCCAGAGCCTCCGGGCCTCGGAGATCCCCGAGTTGTCCCTGAGGTTGTTCGATTCGCTGATCCTCAGGACGTGTGTTGGCCCAATGTGTGCTTACCCCGTTCAACCCAACCAGTCGATCATCACATCGCCTTCGTCGTAGTGAAGGGCCTCAGTGGGCAAACACACGTTGGCGCTAACACACGTTTTGAGGATCATCGATCGATCATGGACCCATTGCTGGACGCAACCGTCCAGCTTTCGCGCCGAATGCCGCCAGAAACCGCCGAAGACCGCCGAGGACCGTCCGAAGACGTCCGAAGACCGGCCGAAGACCGCCGAAGCAGCAAGGGCTCCATGGTCGAATACGTAACCGGTGGCCAGGCCTTCATCGGTGTTTCACGGGCTTCCAGGCCCAGGATCCCTCAGCCAATGCGGTCGAGCACACGGTTAAGAAGCCTCCTCCTGAACAGCCGGGCCAGCGTTTCCTAACCAACCTGCCGGAAAGCTGGCCCAGTCTCTTGAGCACGGTCGCCCTCAAGCGTGACCAGCAGAAAGTGGCCCAAGCGTGTCTCCATAAATCCCGGGGGAGCTGGCCCAGATCTCCGAAGCCTTGCAATGCTCCTCATCATCCATTCGGCCGCGGCTGCATGTTCTGAGCGTGGTCTCCCCTTCTCCCGCAGCCTCACTCCTGGGTCCTGCTGACGCCTGTTGTTGTTGGTGGTGGTGGTGTTGTTGTTGCTGCTGCTGTTTTGTTATTATTGATGTTAGTGTCAGAGCTGTTGTTGTTGGTGTTGTTGTTGCTGTTGTTGCTGTTGCTGTTGCTGATGTTGCGACAAGGAAGATATTCCTCCCGAAATGCGGTGCAATCGAAGACGAGGTGTGCGGGTATCGAGGATTGGGGTATACAGAATGCAAGACACGCGTGCCAGTAAAAGCGAACATTCTTGAAATGATTGTCGTTGTTGCTGCTGCTGTTGTTGTTGCTGGTGCGGCTGCTGTTGTTGATGTTGCGACAAGGAAGACATCCTCCCGAAAGGGGGTACAATCGAAGACGAAGTGTGCGGGTATCGAGGGTTGGGGTATACGAAACGCAAGACACACGTGCCAGTAAGAGCGAACAGTCTTAGATTGAGTGTTGTTGCTGCTGCTGTTGTTGCTGTTGCTGCTATTGTTGCTGCTGTTGTCGTTGCTGTTGTTGTTGTTCCTGCTGTTGTTTGTGCCCCGTCGCATCTCAGCTTCAGGTGCCTCTCTTCTGAACCATCGTCGGGCTCCCCTGGGGTGGAATCGCCCGCCCCCCCGGGTGCATGTGGGTAGCTGGAGCCGTGGATGGCCAACAAATCCCGCCGCGCCTGCTTCAGCGGCCCGGTCTGCCCCCCCGAAACGCCCCGCCGTCGCTCGAGTTTTGCTCGCGCCAGGCGGCCGCAGACCAAGAGCGTTCGGCCGCGGTCTGCCTCGGAAGCGCCCCTTCTGTCGCTCGAGCGCTGTTCCGCGCCAGGCGGCCGCAGACCAAAACGCGTTCGGCCGCGGCTCCTTGCCTTCCGTCGGCGACTTGGATCCGTCACGTGATGCGAATCGGAGGAGGATGAGGAGGAGGAGGCGGAGGGGATCTAAAGAGGAGGAAGAGGAGGGGGATTCGGTGGGGAGGGGGGAACTTCGCATCACTTGATGAAGTCCCTCTGCCTATCCCGCGCCCCGCCGCGCGGCAGAGGCGGGCGGCCGCCCGCCCCGCTCGCCGCCGCGGCCGCGGCGCCGAGGCCCGAGGACGCCGGGAGGACGCCGCGCGGGCGGGCGTCCCCCCCCCCGGGGCGGCTCACACACGCCTCCTCGCGCCCCACGCCGCTCCGTAGTGCCAGAGCCAGGACACGCGCCACTCGTGTTTCCGAGTCGCACGTGGACACGTCTGGGCCGTACGTATGTACTCTGGCTCAGGGGCCATGCAGGGTCCGAGCCGTGCACACTTCTGTGCACTTACTTGCTCATCCCCGCTCATCCCGCTCTTCGCGGCGCGGTGGGGATCCATGCCAACGCCCCTCGCCTCCCCTGGGCGGCTCTCGACTAGACGTAAGAGTGACCCTTCGCCGAAGTGACCTTGGGTGCAGGTCCATGGGGGTCCCCCGATCGCCGAACGCGACGCGATAGTAGCGTCGTTGCGCGCATGCGTTCGCCCCCCCCCGCGGTCCCCCAAGAGCCGCGCACCAGAGGTCACTTTTACCCATGCGTGTAGCCGAGGCTCCTTCGAGGGTTAAGGTCTGGGCGGGGCCGGGTCGGGTGGGCCGTGATCGGCCCTCTCCCTCCCTCCTCCCCCCCCCCCGGGATCACGTCACGCTATTCTGCTCACATTTGCAACGAGTTCCTACGGATTTCCCGGGGATTTCGTAAGATTTCCGGCGGCCCCCGCCGTGATGTGATCGGGGGGACGAATCTCGTCCCCCCTCCGATCACGCCCGTAATCGCGAGGAGTAAAATAACAGGCTCTAAGGCAGAAGAGGAAAGGGTACGGTGGGTGCGTTCGTTAAGGAATGTGCCCAGGGCTTCAGACCTTGGAGGGTTTCTGAACTAATGCAGGCGGCAAGGATATCCATGGCCAGTCCAGGGTTGGAGTTCCTCCGGCCTCTAGACCCTGGGCCCTCACCGTTTGCACATACCGCGACCCTTCCCCTGTTTTCCCGTTTTTTGGCCTCCTGGGAGGTCTTCGTCGCCACGGCTGGATTCGCCTCGGAGTCCTGGTCAGAAGGCGCCCCAGGAGGGGTCCGGGCAACGTTAGTCGGGGGGGGCCGACATGGGTACAGAATCATTGGGCAAAAAGTCCAACAGCAGTTCCTGATCATTCTGAACCGGATTCGCTGTCGGCGTCGGCGCGGGCGCTGTCCCTTTGAGACAGAAGGGGCCGCCTGCCCAACAGCGGGCGCTGTCAGTGTTGGACAACATTTGGGCAGAGTGTCCATTTTGTCAGTATCCACGTCGGACGTCCAATGTTAGAGTCGGGAGACCGTAACGCTCGAGTTCGCCAGAGCTCGAGGTTGGCCGACGCCTTTTGACGGACCCGTCCTGGGTTTTGACGGCCCATTGTGAAATCGTTTCAAATTTCAGATTGGCTCGCATCAACTCGAGTCCTCCAAACTCGAGTCTCATGTCTCCCCCATGGGGGGCACAGGCCCAGGGGAAGAATGCATCGACCCCGAATCGCCCCTTGATCGCCGGTGCGGGCCCGATCGCCCCGCCCCGCCCAGGAGCGTGCGGATCCGCCATCGGGGGCCCATCGCCGATCTATCGGCGATGTGGGGCCGATTATGGGTCGATGCTTGCCTCCCCCTGAGCCGCTCGCCTCCCTTACGCTGCCCCTCAGGCTAGTCTGTATATGATACATATTTCTGGCAGTCGCTCAGCTTGTTCCGCGCGCCGATCTACAGCTTGCGAGCGTCGGCTCGATCTCTGGAGGACTCGCACGAGCCAACAGTTACGCTGCTACGATCACGAATCGTGAGACCAAGCTAGCGCGTCTCATGCGCACGGCACGGTTCATTGCACAATCACCACTCCACTTTGGCCAAGTGCTGCCACACCGCACGGCTCTGAGTGCCCAGACGACCAAGCACGCATCCACGCGCGCGCGGGCACGCGCGCACAGCACGCAACATCCGATAACAGGGTGCCAACAAGTCAGGCGACTTCCGGCGAGCAACAACGCAGTCGTGGCTAGGGAGGCCCATGCGTACGTCAAGGAGCTGCCTGACCTCCAGGCAGACTCCTACGCTCATCCCGTCGTCACCTCGCCGAGGAACTTTCGGGGCGCTGGAGTCGTCCCGAACGGCGGCCCGAGCCCGAGTCATGAGGCCTCCTGCGTGGACAGTCGTGCGCACTGCCACATCACTTCGCCGTGGATACCGACGTGTCGACACCGCGACCATCGCCCTCGCCGTGGCCCTCGTGCTGCATGCGGTCCCGTGTACTGCCGCGACGGGCGGGATTTGAGGCAGCGCAGCCGTCCGCGACATAGGGCAGTTCGACCACGCGGTGTCCACCGAGGATGTCGAGTTCAGCCTCTCCGACGCCCTCGAGGAGGTCTTCGGTGACGGCGCCGCCGCTGCCAGCCACCTCGGGCTCATCGAGGCCGGCGTGGGGCAGAGCTACCAGGAGCCGCCCAAGAAATCGGCGAGGCGGTTTGGGCCGCAGGCGGCATACCACATCATGCACAGCAGCTATTCTGCCCACGAGCACGGCTGGGTCCTCAACGGCCTCGAGCACCACTGCATGCAGCAGAACGTGTCCGAAGTCGACATCCTGCAGGATACGACCCCTGCGTTCGTGGAGGAGCACCTCGAGGCACGCCGCACCGGGTACGAGCTGTCGCTGGACGACGTCGTGGCGATGACCACCATTCTAGATATGCTGATCGCGAACGAGTCGCTGGACCTGCTCCAGACTGCGCACGTGCTGAGCGAGCGCGCCGCGGCGGACAAGATCGACGCCCGCGCTACGCACCGCGTCTTGTCCTCTTCGTACCTCCTCCTCCTCCTCCTCTTCCCCCTCCTCCCCGTCCTCCTCCTCCTCCTCCTCCTCCTCCTCCTCCTTCTCCTCCTCCTCCTTCTTCTCCGCGACCTCACGACCCTCCTCCTCCTCCTCCTCCTCCTCCTCCTCCTCCTCCTCTTCCTCCCCATCCTCGATCTATCCTCGGGGCTCCATCCAGGGCCCCATCTCTGAGCCGGCGCCGCCAGTGCTTGTGCCTTCCCGGGGCCCTTCGGCGGCTCAGAGCTTCGCCATGAGGCGAGCGGGTCCTGGGGTGTTCGGCCCTCTTCGGGCTCCTGGGGCCCTCCACAGACCCCTGGTTTGTCAGAGGACGGCTCGGGACGAAGCGCTGGCCTTGGGCCCGTCCTCCTCGGCGGGTTTCAGAGGTGAGCCCCTGAGGGCCCAGACCTGTGGCGCTTTGAAAATATCTAGACGGAGGTTCTTCGTCTTTTTCGGGGCCGCGGGACCGTCCGATAGCGACTCGGGATGGAAAGACGGCCTGGGGGAAAGGGTCCAGACTTCCTGGGACCGCGCGCTGATTAAGACTCAAGACATCTCATGTCTGGGGATTCGGGTCGGGCGGGCCCAGGACCAGGATGAGCCGTTCGAGAGCCTCCCGGAACACTTGCAGGGCGTTTCAAGGAGCGGCCGCGGCGCCGGACGCCTCCTCCAGAACCGCTGGGGCTCAGAGATCCCCACTTTGCCTCAGTCCGATTTTGTCCCAGCCATTGCTTCGTCTTTCGCGATCGGCGAACGCATCCACGCCCTTGCGGTCTGGTTTCTGGAGCGCGATCCCATGAATATGAGGCCGCATGGATACGTTCCACGCGGGGCATCCGCGAACAAACGCTCCGTATCCACGGGATCGCGGCCCGGGGGCCTGGCCCGCGAGGCCATGGATACGGATATGATTTCCCTTCACGGGTTTGATTTTGATTTTTTCCCCCATTATCAGGGTTCCATCCTTTAGGGACCCATCTCTGAGTCCGCGTCTTACAGTTCCTATGTTTGCCCGCAGCGAGTTGGCCCCGCAGTCCATCCTCTCCAGTGCCTTCTCCCTGTCACTGTCTGTCCTTCGCGTTGCTCCCCATGGGTATTATGTATTGTATTGCTGCTAGTGTTCCTCTTCCTCCTTCTCCGCCTCGTCCTGCTCCCCCCTGCTACTACAGTCGGTGCCGCTCTTGGCCATTCAACTTTTGGTCTGGAAGGGACTCGAGGCTCCTATTGATTCCTCGATTGGTCCTCGAGAACTCCGCCCTGGGCCACTGCAAAAGGTGCGCTTCGGTCTTCAGTCGAGGATCCTTTCAGTAAGAAGGCTGTGATTGTGCATCTGCTCCGACGTAGTTGCCGCCGATCGTTGCCGTCCATCCCCGGCTCCTTTGGCGACAGAAGTGCAGGATCGCATGGGAGTCGACCGACGACCTCCAGCACTCTCCCGGCAGCGAG